TAGTAGGATTTCACATGTGATAAGAATCAATAGTGACACATAGGCAATCCAGAAGAACACTTATGTATTTATATGGATTTTTCTATTATCTAAATATGATCCCTAGGACATGTTAGTTGACTCGTCCTAGAACTAGAGGCAGAGACAATGCTAAATTGGATCATTCGCAAGCTAACTGAATCTGCACTACCCTTTAAAGTGCACTTTCAGAGTTAAATATTGTTACAAAAGGAGATCTTCAAAACCAAAAAAAAAAAAAAACATTACTAACATTCGGTTATCAACGATTGCCTCATATGTCATCCAAGTGGAAAAAATACACGCATAAGAAATATAAATAAAATTGAGATTCCAAATAAAAATAACTTGTATAAAATTCTAATACAACAAAAAATAAAAACTTCCATAGCACATTTCAAATAAAGCAGCAACAAGAAACAAGTGTTATTTCTATTCAAAATCCAACTATAGCATTTGTAATTTGCTCCCTTAACTCTATCATCTCGCTTGCACCTATCCCATTCTGGGTTCAAGTCTTACACAAATCAATTTTGGCCTATGATAAAGATTGGCCAAGGCGTTATTCTTATGCTTCAACATGGACATGTAACTGATCTTCATCAACTTTATTGAAGTCAATTTCGTAGTGCAAAATAAGCCGTCGAATATAATTGTGAAGAGTCATCATAACAACTACAATCTACACTTATTTGAAAAACGGATATTTAGACATATGACACAGTATGACTCACTTCTTCTTCCAAACTTTAAAAGTCATTTCAAAAAAATATCATAAAGAGAAATGTGTCTTGTTGAACACTTCTTTCATGCCATGAGTTACATTGTTAGCCCTCTTAAAATTAAGAATGTGTTGTTTGGTATCAGGAAAGAGTTTGAGATACACTTTTTGTAATGATATCCAATTTTGACTAAACAATATTTCATTATTTGGTCAACAATATTGCACAAGAAAGCAATATCAAATTCGAGCTAATTTGGAGGTCGCTTTAGAAAATTGTATTTATGAGTTTTTGTTGCAAAATTGGAAATAAAATTAACATGTGCATTGTCTTTTCATCAGAGCATCACAAATTTGAAACACATATTAAAAACACATACAATCATCACATTCTATGTTGGTGACCTCTTTCGCTTGGTGCCGATGTTTGTACTCTTACAGCCACCACTCCACCAAAAATACAGTCCAACTTATCTTCAAGCTCTGAGGCAATGTCACTCAATATAATTTTTTTGCGGCTGCACCACCTACAAATCAAGAATAAATCTTTAGATTGAATAATTTTTTTGCGGCTGCACCACCTACAAATCAAGTATAAATCTTTAGATTGATTAAATGAAAACATTGTAATTTTAAAATAATTTAACATTTCAAACAGTGTCACATCTAATCTCTTGGTCTACCATTACTCAGAAGCATTGATTGCTTGCTTTATACAATCCCAACCCAAGCAAATGGATCCTCGCTTTTGCTATTTTCATAATTTCCAGTCTTTTTTTAATGGATCTCATTTGTTATTAAATTGCGTTATATCTTACTCTCATCGTGCATTCTTTAAACTTTTTTTATTATGTTATGTCAACCTTGTTAAAATAAGTGGTTGGCTTATTTCCCAACTCCACCCCTTTGACACAAAGGTCACAAAATATTAGTGTCGTCTCTTTATCCCAATTAGCAGTCGAACTTAATTTTATTGCACTGCCCATAACAGCAAGTAGCATGCAATGAACTAAAAACATAAATTCATGGGAGATAAATAAAAATTAAAAAAACATAAACATGTTCAACACCACCACCGCATCACAACCACCACCATCATATTTATCAACACATAACTAACTCCACACGACGACCTCTACCAGCTCCTCCAAATCACAGACCACCGCCTCCACACCACCAACATCAATAGCACACCACACCACACCACCACCTCCACAACACACCACCACCTCCACCGATTTAACAACAATCAAATTTTAGATTATTTGAAATATAAATACATAAGAATTGTGTTAAGATATGTAAAATTTCATATATTTTATTAGTGCAAATTATTGACCTTCTTAAATATTTTCTTCAAGGCTAATCTTATCGAAGACAACGTTTGTAGAACTATTTTATTTTTAAATTTGGTTATGTATTAATATTTTGAATTCTCCTCTCTGCTCATAATTTTTTAT